CTCTTCGTTGCATTGATTTTTTTTATTTTTTTTATTTTATTTTTTTTTTTTTTTTTGTATTGTTTTCCTGGTTTCTATTTTGTTGATTTCAGCCCTCAAGTTGATTATTTCCTGGCATCTACTCCTATGGGGTGAATTCACTTCTCTCTGTTCTAAGGCTTTCAGTTGCGCTATTAATTCTCTTATGTGACTATCCCCTGTTTTCTTCATATGGGCACTTAGTGCGATGAACTTCCCTCGTAGCACTGATTTTGTTATTTGCATGTTCTGTCTCTGCTTTTTTGTTAATTTGGATAAAGGTTTGTCTATCTTGTTGATTTTCTCAAAAAACCAACTCTTTGTTGCATTGATTTTTTTTTTTTTTTTTTTTTTTTTTGTTTTTGTTTTCCTGGTTTCTATTTTGTTGATTTCAGCCCTCAAGTTGATTATTTCCTGGCGTCTACTCCTGCGGTGTGAATTCGCTTCTCTCTGTTCTAAGGTTTTCAGTTGGGCTGTTAATTCTTTTATGTGACTATCCTCTGTTTTCTTCATATGGGCACTTAGTGCAATGAACTTCCCTCGTAGCACTGCTTTCAAGGTGTCCCATAAGTTCGGGTATGTTGTATCCTCATTCTCGTTGAATATTAGAAAGTCTTTAATTTCTTTCTTTATTTCTTCTTTGACCCAGGAGTGGTGCAATTGCACATTGTTAAGTTTCCATGAGTTTGCAGGTTTTCTGCTATTTGTGTTGTTGTTGAATTCCAATTTTAAAGCATGGTGGTCCGATAAGATACAGGGGACTATTCCTATTCTCTTGTATCTGTTGAGGTTTGTTATGTCTCCTAGTATGTGGTCGATTTTAGAGAAGGTTCCATGTGGAGCAGGGAAGAAGGTATATTCTTTTGTCTTTGGATGGAATGTTCTATAGATGTCTGTTAACCCCAGTTGAGACATAACTTCTGTTAATTCTTTTGTTTCTTTGTTGAGTTTCTGATTTGTGGTCCTGTCTAGTGTTGAGAGTGGTGTATTGAAGTCTCCCACTATAAGTGTGTGAGGTTTTATATGAGCTTTGAGTTTTAGTAGTGTTTCTTTTACGAATGTGGGTGACTTTGTATTAGGGGCATAGATGTTCAGAATTGAGACTTTGTGTTGATGGATTTCTCCTGAGATGAATATGAAATGACCGTCTTCATCTCTTTTCACTAATTTTGGTTTGAAGTCTAACTTGTTAGATATTAGGATAGCTACGCCTGCTTGCTTCTTATTTCCATTTGATTGGAAAACCTTTTCCCAACCCTTTACCCTGAGGTAATGTCTATCTTTGACGCTTAATGTGTTTCTTGTATGCAGCAGAAGGATAGATTCTGTCTTCGTATCCATTCTGTTAGCCTGTGTCTTTTTATAGGTGAGTTAAGACCATTAATGTTGAGGGTAAGGACCATTAATTGTTGATGCCTGTTTGATTTAGGTTTGTTGTTGGCAGTGGTATTGTGAATATATTAGTTCTGCTTTACCCTTGGTTTCTGGTGTAGTTGGATTATCTGTTGCCTACATTTTTGTGGGCGTAGTTACCTTCCTTGGGTTGGAGTTTTCCTTCCAATACTTTCTGTAGGGCTGGATTTATAGATACGTATTGGGAAAAATACGTCATTAAATATCTTGTTTTCTCCATCTATAGTGATTGAGAGTTTTGCTGGATATAGTAGCCTAGGCTGGCATCTGTGTTCTCTTAATACTTTTAGAACATCTATCCAGGACCTTTTGGCCTTGAGGGTTTCCATGGAGAAGTCAGGTGTAATTTTGATAGGTGTGCCTTTATATGTTACCTGTCCTTTTTCCTTCGCTGTTCTTAATATTCTTTCTTTATTCTGTATGCTAGGTGTTTTGATTATTATATGTTGAGGGGTCTTTTTTCTTTGGTCCAGCCTACTTGGGGTTCAGTGTGCTTCTTGTACTTTCATGGTCATGTCCTTCTTCAGATTTGGAAGGTTTTCCTTGATGATTTTGTTGAATATGTTTTCGTCACCTTTGAGCTGGGCTTCCTCACCTTCCTCTATGCCTATTATTCTTAGGTTTGGCCTTTTCATGGTGTCCCACATTTCCTGGATGTTTTGTGTTAAGGATTTATTGGATTTATGATTCTCTTTGGTCAATGAATCTATTTCTTCTAGTTTATCTTCTGCACCTGAGATTCTCTCTTCCATCTCTTGAATTCTGTTGGTTATACTTGTGTCTGTAGTTCCCGATTTTTTGCCCAGTTTTTCTATTTCCAGCATTCCTTCAGTTTGTGTTGCCTTTATTTTCTCTGTTTTAGTTTTCAAGTCTTGAACCATTTCCTTCACCTGCTTAATTGTTTTTTCTTGGCTTTCTGTACTTTCCTTAAGGAATTTGTTCATTTCTTCCACTTTTTTGTTTGTTTTTTCCTCTATTTCTTTAAGGGATTTTCTCACATCTTCTTTGAGGGCCTCTATCATTTTTATGATGGTAATTTTTAAGTCGTTCCCTTCTGCTTCCTCTGCTTTGTTGTTGTGTTCCGTTCTAGTTGGTGTAGATTCCCTAGATTCTGGTAGTGTCATGCTTGCCTTTCTGTTGTTAGGTGTTTTCTTGTATTGCCTTCTTCCCATAGCTTCTTCCAGTAGGTGTTGGTGGGGTCTCCCCTTCTCTCTATGGTACTTCCCCGGTGGGCTTATGTGGGTCAGAGATTCAATGTCTGTAGCTTTGTGTGGTCCAAGCTCTCTAGGAGGTCTCTCAGCAGACAGGGACCCAGGGATGGGGTCAGGGCTAAGGATCCAGTAGAAGATGCCAGCAGGAACTCACAGTGGTCCCGCAGAGATAGGCAGATATCTGGGAGGGGCCCAGGACTCCAGCAGAAGACTAGATGTTGGGTCAGAGACCAAGCAGGTGGAAATTACGGGTGGTCCCGCGTGGATAGTCAGGTCTCCTTTGTTCAGAGTTGCTCCGAGAAGTCTCTGAAGTAGGGTGGACTGTTGGCTCCACCCTCTGTCCCAGTGCTCAGCCAGAGTGGCAGGACACTGGGCAGGGTAGGGCACAGGGTAGGGGGGCAGGCTCACTGTGGGGATGGGTGGGGGTGTATCAGAGCTCCAAGGGTGCTCTCGATGGGGACAGGAGACAGGAGCAGCAGGATCAGGGGCCAACCCAGGGCCCCTGTGAGTCGGACTTCATGTTTTTTGAGACAGATACCTGACCATTGAGATATATGCCTGTCATCCCCACCCTCACCCCCCCCCACCCCAACCCCGTTTTGTTGAGGTTGTTTATTTCTTTGTTTTACTTACATTTTAAGACAGGATCTCGCTAACTTGCTTATGCTGGTCTTGAACTTTGTCTCCAACTTAGACTACAGAGATTCTGATACATCAGACTTAAGTAGCCTGTGCCCCCAAGCATGGCATCCATTTTAGCATTAAACTTACAATTGATTCCAACTCTTTAGTGGCTATGAAACTTTTTTTTTCTTTTTTGTTTGTTTATCCAAGACAAGGTTTCTCTGTGGTTTTGGAGCCTGTCCTGGAACTTCTCTGTAGATCAAGCTGACCTCGAACTCACAGAAATCCGTCTGCTTCTGCATCCTGGGTGCTGGGACTAAAGGCGTGCATGGCCACCACCTGGCAGCCTCAGCAAATTTTATAAAGGAAAACATTTAATTGAGGTGACTTGCTTACAGTTCCGAGGTTTGGCCCATTATCATCATGACAATGTGCAGGCAGACTTGGTGCTGGAGAAGGAGCCCAGAGTTCCAAATCTTTATCTGCAGACAGCAGAAGCACCTGTGTGCCACACTGGGTGTAGCCTGAGTACAGGAGATCTCAAAGCCCACCCCCACAGTGACACACTTCCTCCAACAAGGTCACATCTCCTAATAGTGCCACTCCCTATGAGCTTATGGGGGCCAAATACAGTCAAACTACCACAATCCCCAAAACAAAAGATATTGTAAAAATATTTTAAATAAATGGAATAGTGGTGAACCTACATAACATTGTGAATATGCATAGAGCTACTGGATTGTATACCTCAAAATGTAAAGATAGGCATAGAGATGCACACCTGTAATACCAGCACTCCAAATCTGAATCAACAGTTCAAACCCAGCCTGGATATACAGTGATGTCTGTCTCAAAAACAATTGAAAAGAAACAAACTAGAACAAATAAGATTGGAAAAGCTTGGCTGTGATGCACGCCTTTACTCGGGAGACAGAAGCAGGAGGATCTCTGTGAGTTCTAGGATAGTCAGGGCTACACATGGAAACCTTGTCTTGGGGTGGGGGATGAAAATGGATAGATCATGTGAGAAGTTTAATACTAAAGTGATGCAACCAAAATAACATTTCCTGTTATAACTACCAGAATTTGATCCAACTATAAAAATCTTAATTGATGGGGAGATGGTAAATGGATTGCCTTGAAAGCTTAAGGACTTGCGTTAGATTCCAAGAAGCACATTAAAAAGATCTGAGCGTGTTCACACACAGTTGTAGTCCCAGTACTAGGGAAGACTGACTAACCAGTGTGGGCCTAGGGGAAACCCTTGGGCTAATGACACTCTTTGTTGTTGTTGTTGAGTTACTGAATTCTCTCAATAGTTATAATTTATGGGAAATGCTCTAGGGTGTTTTCTGAGGGTGGTGTTTTGGAGAGGATGAGTTGGTGCTGAAGAATGAACCCACAGCACGTGGGCAATGGTACAGAAGAGATGTGCTCTGAGCCCAGAGAAACACAGCAAACACTGGAAGCCTCAAACACTGCTTTCCTCCTTAACAACTTAACTTCTTTTTTTCTAGCTGCATTTATTTTATTTTATGTGTATAGGTGTTTTGCCAGAACATATGTGTGTATGACGTGTACATTCCTGGTTCTCACAGATGTCAAAAGAGGGCATTGTCTCAGGTCTTCTGCAAGAGCAGTAAGTGCTCTTAGCTGATGAGCCATCTCTCCAGCCCTGCTTGAGAACTTTAGAAAACATGCCTGCTGAAATGCAGTTTTACTTTTATCTTGTAGGAAGCATCTCAATTCTCCCTACCATATTGTACCTTGCAATTGGAGTCCTCAGAGAAACTGCTGTGAAGTTACCTGGGGGCCAGTTGTCCTCAACAGTCACGGCCTCCTTGCAAGCTTTGAAAGGAATCTTAACTTCCCCAATGGCCCGAGCAGAAAAGAGCCACGAAGCTTGGACCAGCCTCCTCCAGAATGCTCTAGCAACTGTGCTTGACTGTTGGAGTCCAGGTCAGCAAGACTGTTAGCAGGTTTTAAAGGGAGAGGCATGGCCTTTGTTTTTAGGATAAGCTATTCCGTTGATCATATTGGTAGCCTCACCTAGAAGAGAACGAATTGTGGATCCAGTGGATATGTAAGGTGTTCAGATAGACCTTACGAACCCCTTTCCTTGTGCTCTTTACAATTGGCATGATTCACTCTATTTGAGTTTGCACTGCAAGAGGACCCAAATCATGATGAGAAGAAAGTCGGAAGAGTTCCATCACACAAGCCTAAGAAAAGAAAGGTGGTGCACGCCTTTAGTCTTAGCACTCAGGAGGCAGAGGCAGGTGGAGCTCTGAGTTCAGAGGGCAGCCTAGTCTACAAAGCAAGTTCCAGAAGAGCCAGGGCAGTTACACAGAGAAACCCTGTCTCAAAAAAACAAAAGGAAAAAAAATTAAAAAGAGGCATAGTAGATTGTCAAGCAGGGTGTGCTTTGGTCCAGATGAGAACTAAAGACAGATGGACTCCTCCTGGACAGACAGACCTTGGCAAGAAGTACAGATAGGGTCAACATATTGTTGTTTTCACAGAGACACCCAGAATCATGCTGTGTACCCAGGATTGCTTTGAGGTCAACATCACCCTAGTCCCTAGTGCTAGCATTACAAGTCCATGCCATCACCAGGCAAGGTTTTATTTTCAGAGGGAAGTGGAAAACGGGCAGAGTCGGGATTAGAGCAGCAGGATGGAATAAAGTACAGCACAATTTGAATAAATTTACAGTTATCCTCTGCCAACATCAGGGAGGAAGAGGAGGTAAAGATAGAGAAGTATTAGTTTTTATGTTGTCCATCATAACAAACTTCCCTTTCTTCACGATACACAATATGTTTGGTCTCGGTTGTGAATCAAGCCAGGACTTGCCTGTTAGACCAATTACTAACATACATTAATAGGAGCTGATCATAAACGAACAGTAAATGTTCGCAGGTCACCTCCCAGCTGGACCTGATGCTGGTGTCATCCCAACATTTGGCAGTAGAAGCAGGAAAATCAGGAGTTCAAGGCTATCCTTTGTTACATAATGAGTTCAGGGCCAGCCTGTCTCAGACCCTGTCTCAGAAAGACAGACAAAAGAACCTAGTGGCATAAAAGAGGAAAACATTTATTACCTGTTAGTCTCTGAGGCCCAGGACTTGGCCTGTCATGAAGTTAGTACTAGGACACTGGCCGGGCTACAGCTAGTGGATTGGATTCCAAGATGACTCAGTCAGACAGCTGTTGGCAAGGGGCTATTCTTTACTGTTTTACTGCTTGGGCCTCAAGAGAGGCCTACTGCTTATGCACACTTTTCATCCATCCACAATAAATACAGGGGCAGTTAAGGAGATTAGGAGAAATGGGGAGAGAGGAAAGTATTTGTACTGAACTAACTAGCTGAGTGTGCTGCAGATAACTTTGCTGGAGAGGAAGCAGAAGAAGCCTCCTGGAACTATTGTATTTTCTGGACTGTCCACTTTCCAGACTTCAGGTGTGCTGGACAAATGACCTCATTTCCATTTCTTATACATACGGTGCTGCTGGCTGGTACAGGGCACTTAGGCACTGCTGTGTGGTTTGCTTTGTTACCTGTGTGCCAACTGTCACTTATTCGGAGTCACTCTAGGGTATTTTATGTGGTTTTAGCTTTTTATTTGTGAGGTAAGGTCTCATGTAGCCCAGTCTGAGGTTGAATTCTCTTGCAGAGGCTCCTGCCCCAGCCTCCCAAGTGCTAAGCTTGTAGATAGACTTGAGCCACCACATTCCTCCTTTCTATAGTTTTGTTGTTTCGTTTGGTTTTTCAAAACAGGTTTTCTTTGTGTTCTAGAACTAGTTCTGTGGACCGGGCTGACCCCAAACTCACTGAGACAGAACCTACAGGGCTTGTCTTTTTTTTTTTTTTTGGTACGTTTTTATAGTCATGGACCTTGTTACTAACTAAACATAAATTCTTTATTTGATTCCCACTTAATAATGAAGTTGTGTTCTCATTACCTAAGAGGGCTGGCTGGCACATGGGTTTTAAGTATTTACTGATGCTACTGTTCATGCATGTCATTTATTTATAAGTAATAACCATCTAGTGGGCTGGGTATGTACTCAGCTGATGGAGTATTGTCTGACATGCACAAAGCCCTGGATTCTGTCCCAGTACTGTGTACACTTGGCATGGTGGCTCAGCCTGTAAGCCCAGCACTCGGGAGCTGCAGGGGAGGAAACAGCAGCAGCAGCCACATTAACAAGTTGGAGGCCAGACTAGCTATTTGAGACACTGTTTCCTTATTTTGTTGTTGTTGTTGTTTTGATTCATATCACTTGATCTTAGCCAGAAGCCCAAGGTGGGAGGGGGACTTAGTAAGTTGAGTTTGTTTGCCACCTTTCCTTTTTAAAATAATCCATAGCTGCTTTATTACAAATATTTAATTAGAATATCACTTTGGAAAATGAAGGTAACTTATTCTAATAGAAAATGGTTCCTGTATATAATCCTAATCCAAACACCAGGAAATTGGACAAGAAGACCACTGAAAATTTGAACCCAGTATGGTCTGTGTAGTGAGGTCCAGGCCAGCCAGGGTTTCAGAGTGCAACCATGTCTCAGAAAAATAAACTTAAAAAAGTAGGCCACAGATGTACCCTAGTAGGCCAGCATGCATGGAGACCTGGGTTCTGTCCCAAGAACATATAAACTAGGTCTGGCGTTATACACTTATAATCCCAGCATTTGGAAAATGGAGGCAAAAACATCAAAATTTCACGCCTTTAATCCCAGCACTCAGGAGGCAAAGGCAGGCAGGTCTCTGAGTTCAGTGCTAGCCTGGTCTACAGAGCTAGTTCTAGGGCAGCCAGAGCTACACAGAGAAACCAGGTCTTGAAAAAACAAACAAACAAAAATTCAGGGTCATCCTCAGCTACATAGCAAGTTGAAGCCAGCTTATGCTGCAGAAGACCCTGCCTCAATAAAAAAAAAAAAAAAAGAAGAAGAAGAAGAAAAATTCATTGAAACCAAGGTATGACCTCCACACTCTTTCAGGCGTTTCTCTACAGTTGAGAAGTAGATATGTAGACGGAGTGCTAAGATATTTACCTGGCACCAATGTTAACAAAATCCGAAGTGAAAATAGCAGAACAGTGGTGAAAGCCCTTCCATTGCACCTAATGCAGTGACACAGACTGTGCACAGTCATAGTGTGCACCACTATCCCAGCTAGGCAGGAAGAGTAGCAGGAAGGTCTACTGAGGCCAAGAGTTCAAAGACCTGCATAGTCTGTCTGTCTCAAAAACAAAACAAAAAAAAAAAATCACAACTTAAAGAGCTAATACATGTGAAAGCCACAAGTACTATGTATCCTAACTTACATGTCCAAAGTCAGGCAGTCTCAAATGTGTTAGTCCACCCTGCTACACACACCTGAGAGGCTGAAACCAGGAGCCTTGCATGTGCCAGGAAGTCCTCTATCAGAGCTGCATCCCCAGCCCTCAGGGGAGTCTGTTTATTTGTTTTTCTGAGACAGCTTTCTCTGTAGCTTTGGAGCCTGTCCTGGGACTTGCTCTATAGACCAGGCTGGCCTCGAACTCACAGACAGCCGCCTGCCTCTGCCTCCTGAGTGCTATGATTAAAGGCGTGCACCACTGCTGCCTCCTCAGGGATTCTTAGAGTCTGGGGAAGAAGGAAAAAAAGTCAGTAACCAAACTACTGAGCTTTGCACAGAGACGCACCAGTAGATGCGACCCTTCTAACACTCATTTCTCTTCAGTTGACAGAGCACATCAAGAACTTGATGACGTCAGTCTGCTTACTGCCATCACGGTGTTTATTTTGTCTACCAGTCCAGAAGTGACGACTGTCCCCTGCCTTCAGAAGCGCTGCATTGAGAAATTTAAGGCTGCCCTGGAGAGCAAAGACCCTGTGGTAAATGTCTTTTAGTAGAGTCTGTTTAGACTTGCAAACTTTGTCTTTATGGTTGTCGAACATATACTGTGCTTGGTGATTTTGCTTGTTCCTACAAAAAGTATCCAGGGACTGGGTTTGTGGTTCAGTATGTATAGTGCATGCCTAGCATCCCCAGGCCCTGGGTTTGATCCCCAGCACTGTATAAATCTAGCATGGTAGTGTAGGCATGGAATCCCAGCACTAGGGGCTAGCGACAAATATCAGAAGTGAGTTTAAGGTCAACGTAAGCTACATGAGACTGTCTCAAAAGAAAGAAAAAGAAAGCTAGGCAATAGGGATACACACCTTTAATCCCAGCACTCAGGAGGCGAAGGCAGGTAGATCTCCGTGAGTTCAAAGCCAGCCTGGTCTACAAAGCAAGTTACAGGACAGCCAGGGCTACAAGGAGAAACCCTATCTCTAAAAAACTAAACAAAAACAAAGGAATTGGTATAACAGTGGTGACTATACCTGTAACCCCAACACTGAGAATGCAGAGATGGAAGAAATGCACACAGGTCAAGTCAGGATCATCTCAATAGGGTGTTTCAGGCCAACCAGGACTAAGGAGTGAAAACTGTCAGAAAGCAAGGAGAGGTGGCCTCGCAGTTTACAGCCATTTGTAACTCCAGCTCCCAGAGATCTGAGGCCTCCTTCTGGCCCCCCTGCATACTAAACACACAGAAGCACACACATCCACATAATTAAAGACAACGTTGTTCATATGTCTATATAGCACAAGGGGTTTTTATGATCATTTGTAGATTGTCTTTAAAGAAAGAAATAAGGAATGATAGATTGGATTAGATTAAATGTTTGTTTTATCGTGTGTTGCAAAATTAGTTTGGAGCCCATACTCAGAAACATTTCCAAAGATATAGGAACCAAATTTTCTCAGGGGAAAAAAAATAATAATACTGGTGCTTAAGATACTAATTCAATCTAAAGAGGTGACGAGTGGACGAGATGTGTAGTCGTTGTCCTTTATCCCTCTGTCTAGTTTGTCAGCGGCCACCTGCTCAAGTTGTGTAGCAGGCTCCAAGTGGTGACTGACAAGCAATGACACCTTTAGACCATGTCATGTGGACATCAAATGTGTAGAATTTTGATACAAAACATTTTCTGAAAACAAAAAATTAAGTTCAAATTTGTCTCTGTTTTGTTGGTTTGTTTGGGTTGTTTGTGGGCAGGGGTTGTTTTTTAGTGTTGTTGCTAGTTTTACACATTATAGAGGGACCCAAGAGAAGGTTTTAACTCAAAAAAAAAAAAGTTTGCAGGAACATTTGTTCTTGTGTTTCTTTGTTCTAGGGGCTTTTTAAATTTACAGTTTAAGCCGGCATTAGTGGTGCACACCTTTTTTAGTCCCAGCACTCGGGAGACAGAGGCAGGCGGATCGCCATGAGTTTGAGACCAGCCTGGTCTACAAGAGCTAGTTCCAGGACAGCCTCCAAAGCTACACAGAGAAACTGTCTCAAAAAGCCAGGAAAAAAAAATTTACAATTCATTCTTGTCTTGCCCCATTAGGTACAAATGAAAACCTACCAGCTCCTACATTCCATTTTTCAGTATCCAAATCCAGCCATTTCCTACCCGTACATTTACTCTCTAGCATCTTCCATTGTGGAGAAGCTGCAGGAAATAGACAAGAGAAAACCTGAAGACACTGCCGAGCTGCAGATCTTTCAAGAAGGAATAAAAGTCTTGGGAGCTTTGGTCACCATTGCTGAGGAACAGCACCGTGAGTGTCAGCGCCTAGTGCTTGCTCTCTCCCCAGTGTCCATAATCACACCGTGTCTCCATCACTTTCGAGCGCCTGGGGCAGCGGGATCTCTTAGGGTTTGTCAGAGCGCTGCCTCAAAAACAATAGACAAACAAAAAAGATCACCAGGTATGGTGGCACACTTCCGTAATTCCAGCACTTTTGAAGTGGAGACAAGAAAACCACCATGAATTTGAGGCCCATTTGGGCTACAGGGTGAGCCTGTCTTAAAAAAGAAAAAGACAGGGAAATCTCATGGGACCCAAGCCTAGATGAAGAACTACAAGCAATTAATAACTGCTGAGTACACTTGGTCTTCCCTAGAGATGAGCCCCCTAATTGGTTATCCAAAAGCAAGTGGTCAGCCCTAATAATCATAAACGTATTAGCAACATTAAATCCACTCAGCAGGTTGTGCCTATGTAATATTTTTGTATGTACATGCTCACACAGAACAATTAAAAAAAAAGAGGTCATGAATTTGAAAGAGTTGGGGACATGGGAGGGGCTAAGAAGAGGAGGGAGAAATGATGTGAATATAGGAGACATATATAAAATGGTTTAATTTTTTAAAAAGCGAGCTGGAGAACTAGTTCAGTCAATAAAGTTCTTGCCTTGCCAGAACTTTATTCAGTCATCAGAACCCAGTAATCCCAGCACTCAGGAGATGGTTCAAAAGGAAGGATAGGAAGTTTTCACATTATCCTGCATGAATTTGGAGCCAGGCTAGTCCTAAGAAAAGAAAAGGCTAGGGACTGGAGAGATGGCTCAGAGGTAGAGGTTATGACTGCTCTTTCAGAGCAGAGTTCAAGTCCCAGCAATCACATAGTAACTCACAATCATCTGTAATGAGATCTGGTGCCCTCTTCTGGTGTGCAAGCATTTGTGGAGGTATAGTGCCATATACATAATTAATTAATAAATCGAGAGAGAAAAAGATGAAAAGGTTGGGTGCTATGTTGGTGATAATTTGCTTGTAATCCCAGTGGCAAAGAGTCAGAAACAGTGTATTCATAGGGTTTCCTGGCCAGCCTAGCCTACATGGTGAGCTCTGGCCTCCACCTGGATTCCTGCATGTGTTCAAAACATACGTGCATACACTCACACACGGGCATGAACACAGTAAGCAGGTATGATGATGATCCTAGATATAAGTGAAGAGTTTACTTGAATGAAGCTCACTAACCTCCCTGAACTGTGCCCTTTCTCACCCGCAGGCTCTCAGCTGGTGGCTTGCCTTCTGCCCATCCTCATTTCCTTCCTTTTGGAGGAGAATGCTCTGGGATCAGCAACCTCAGTTATGAGAAGTCTGCATGACTTTGCTTTGCAAAATCTCATGCAGATCGGGCCAAGGTATTCCTCAGTGTTTAGGAACGTCATGGCTTCCTCCCCAGCCCTGAAAGCCCGGCTAGAGGCTGCTGTGAAAGGCAATCAGGAAAGTGTCCGAGCGGAGCCACCTTCCAAACATGCCAAGAACCTGGGCAGGAACTCAAGCATCCAGTTAAAGACGAATTTCCTGTGACACTGCTCTTCTGGAACACTGAGCACCATAATGTAACACCTGATTGTCTCCTTGCTTTGGGGACAAAAGTGAAACTTGAGACACAAGTGTGCTTGGAGATCCAGTTGATTGCTCTAATTTCAGGAGTGATTGAGACTTAACATTCTTGCTTATTTTGGTTTGGTTTTGTTTCCATTGACTAAGATCATGCAACTGCCAGATTTCTTGCCGGGCATTTCAAGAAAGTGCCAAAGATCCCAATTTACTAAGTAATCCACTGTTTTGAGAATGGAGGGATTATCTGTAAGGGTCTGCACATTTGACTCTGGCAGACGTCAGTGTACTATAAAGTATCAGCACTCACCCCCACATCCCAGTTGCTAATGTAAATCCTGCCATATTCAGTAGTAGCATTAAACTTCATGCATTTCTCAAGCAACATAAATGATTAGAGCTGGGAAGGGTAACTGAAGAAACTGAGGCAGAGTGGTCACCAAAGTTCTACACCAGCCTGGTCTACATAGAAAATTCCAGAGCATCTGGTACTACACAATAAGACTTCTGTCAAAAAACAAATTAGTTAGCAAACAAGCTAAGCAATATTAATAATGCCAACAGTAAGTAAATGATTGGAATGCTATTTAAGAACCAGATCTAGCCAGGCAGTTGGTGGTGCATGCCTTTAATCCCAGTACTCGGGAAGCAGAAGCAGGTAGATCTCAGTGAGTTCAAGGCAAGCCTGGTCTACAGAGCAAGTTCTAGGACAGCTAGGGCTGTTACACAGAGAAACCTTGTCTTGAAAAACCAAAAAGAAACAAGAACCAGACCTCGAATTACCCAGCATACACTAGGACAGACTGCTTCAGCCTCACTATACAGCTTGAGGCTGTGGCCTCTTGTACAGTACATCATGACTGTGTCCTTTAAGTGACTATTGCTGAGTGCACAGAGTGCTTTTATATAGAATAGACCATCTCCAACCTTCTATTCCTCAGATGGATTTTCTGTTACCTCTATTCCATTTTGTTGTTTTTATTTGTGGAAATCATTCATCTTGAGAGCTTCATGTAGATCCGTGTCTGTATCGATGTGGGATTGTATGAATGCCAGATTTAGTACAACAGATTTAGAACTTCGGTGAATACAAATATGTTTTTTTAACACAGAATGTATTTTAATATAAAAAATATAATGACAAAGTCATATTGGTTGGAAACTATTTTTGGCTGTGTTCATGATCACTGTCTTCCCCCCACACACACACACTTCAGTACTATACTGTGTGAATAGAGCACTATGTCAAAGCAATGCCGCTTCCTATCCTAATTTACACACTGCAGGGATAGAGGCATGTTCAGAATTGAGAAGGACTGATTAGAGCAGGAACCACGTGATGGACTCTATTTTATTATGTTTGTATGTAAATACTCTTGTAAAGCTTTCAGATTGGAAAACATTTGACAAACTAACACTACAATCAACTTTTCTATATTACACAAATAAAGCTAATTTTCTTTAATGTCCTTGTATCTTGAATTATTTCATCGAGGAAATGTAGCCAGTTTTTCTCACCGATCTGCACCAGTCCCCCTTAACTTGGCTTTGGTTCTCTGAGCATCCTCTAGAGTGGTTTAGCATGTCTTTCTGTAGAGTTTGAGTGTTTCACTGTTCTTCTCATCTGAAATGCCCTCCCTCTCCCCAGTTCTTTCTGAGCCTGTGGATTCCATCTCCTTTTGGGCCTGGACTAAGTGTTGATAACATGTTGTACCACCAAATTTAATTTCTGCCTCATTCATTTGTGTTGCTGTAGAGTTACTACTACAGTGTAGTGCCTAACATGTTCTTCAGTCCACTGTATTGCCAGCTTACTTCCCTTTTAGATGGCTCCCTCAAAGTGAGAGTTTGTGTCCAATAGCCTTGCCTCTATGCCTTCAACTACAGGCATCATTCTGAGTGATGAGTGACCACTAACAGCAGCCAAGTTGCTCTGGTGTGAGCCAGAGTGTACCTCTTTACCAAGCAAAACTCAGCCCTGGTGCGCTCTGGATATAATCTACTAGTTGACTATTAGAAGCTGTCTTAGTGATTGTTCACTTGCCGTAAAGAGACACCATGAGCAAGGCAACTCTTATCAAAGAGCATTAAACTGGGGGCTTGTCCATTAGTTAGTCCATTAATTAACCTCTTGGCATGAATCGGATAAGCATGGACTGGAGCAGTGCCTGCCAGATCTCCAGGCAGCAGCAAGCAAAAAGACTCAAAACCTACCTCCCAGTGACACCACCAACAAGGCCACATTTAATCCTTCCAAACAACTCATCTACTGGGGACTTCAGTGAGCCTGGGGGGGGTGTTATAGGGGCTTTTATTGTTTTATCCATTTTTAATTGCTTCATTTGGTTGTTAATATTGATCAAAGAACTCAACGTAAATCCAGCCACACTGAACCTCTTAGAAGAGAAAGTGGGAGGTACTCTTGAACAAACTGGTACAGATACAGAAGACCACTTCTTGAACATAACTCCAATAGGACAGACACTGAGATCAACAATAAATGGGACCTCCTCAAACTGAAAAGCTTCTGTAAGGCAAAGGACACAGTTCACAAAACCAAATAGTAGCCCACAGACTGGGAAAAGATCTTCCAAAACACGCCAAGAACTTAAGAAAATAGTCACCAAAACACCAAATAGCCCTATTAAAAAATGGGGTACAGAACTGAATAGAAAACTCTCAATGGAGGAAATCAAAAAGACTGAAAGACACTTAAGAAAGTGCTCAACATCCTTAGCTATCAGGGAAATGCAAATCAAAATAACTCTGAGATACCATCTTACTCCTGCCAGAATGGCTAAAATTAGAAACACCAATGACAACTTATTATGCTGGAGAGGATGTGGAGAAAGGGGAACACTCCTCCACTGCAAACTTGTACAGCCATTTTGGAGATCATATGGCGGTTCCTCAGGAAAATGGGAATCAGTCTACCACAAGACCTGGCAATCCCCCTCTTAGGTATATACCCAAATGATCCACATCCATGCAACAAAAACATGTATTCAACTATGTTTATAGCAGCATTATTTGTAATAGCAAGAACCTGGAAGCCAACTGAAGAATGGCTAAAGAAGATGTGGTACATTTACACAATGGAATACTACTCTGCAGAAAAAAAACAATGGAATCTTGAAATTCACAGGCAAGATGGAACTTGAAGCAACCATCCTGAATGAGGTAACCCAGTCACAAGAGGAACATGGTATGTACTCACTCATATATGGATTTTAGACCTAGAGCAAAGGATCACCAGCCTATAATTCACACCGCCAGAGAAATTAGGATACAAGGAGGATTCTAAGAGATTCATGTAAGGTCTCTCACAGAAGGGGAAAAGGGGCAAGATCTGAGTATATTGGGAGTGGGTGGGGGGACAGTGAGTGGAGAGGGAGCTAGGAGAAAGAGAAGGGGATGAGAGGAAGCACGTGGGAATAGGAAGATTGAGTCAGAGGGGGAATAGACAGGAGAGAGAGAGAGAGAGACCATAAAAGAGGGAGCCATTATAGGTTTGAGGAGAAAACTGAATCTAGAGAAATGTCCAGAGACCCACAAGACTGACCCCAACTAACAATTTGAGCACCAGTGGAAAGGCTATCATAAATGCCCTTCCCTGATAATGAGATCGACGACTAACTTATCCACCATCATAGATCCCTCAAATAGTAGCTGATGGAAACAGAAGCAGACACCCACAGCTAAACACTGAGCCAAATTGGAATCCAGATGCAGAGAGGGAGGACAAGACCAGGCTACCGAAACACATAGAGACAGCTGACCTGAACAAGGGGAAGCTCATGAACCCCCAGACTGATAGCTGGGAATCCAGAACGGGACTGACTCAGACCCTCTGAACATGGGTCTCAGTTAGAAGGCCTGGGCAGTCTAAGGGACCTCAGACAGTGGAACCAGGATGTATCCCTGGTGCACAAAAGGACTTACACATCCCCCATGGAGGGATACTCCCTTAACTCAGAGGCAGGAGGGAAGGCCTAGTCCCTACTCCAAATGACTTGACAGATTTAGATGACCCCTCCTGGAAGGCCCCACCCTACATGTGGAGTGGGGGGATGGAAGGGGAGGGAGGCATGGGAGAGTGGGAGAGAGGGAAAGAGGGAGGGAGGGAAAGAGGGAAGAAGGGAGAGAGAGGGAACTTGGATCAATAAGTAAAATAAAAATAAAAAAGTTTTAAAATTTAAAAAAAAACTTTAAAAAAAAGATTTCTGTCCATTTTCATGGCATAATGTTTTTAAATCCATCATCTTATTTGCCAGTGTTAAATTTTTAGATATTACCTGAGATATTACTGATAAAAAAAAAAAACTGTTACTGGCTGGGGATTTGAACCTGTCATTCCCATCCTGGCATCCACGATAAAGACTTACAGACAGCCTGACTCCGTTAAGCTAAGGCTTCCCTGTCAAGGCAGTGGCTCTCAACCTGTCTGGGTCATGATCCCTTTGGAGCCTAATGACCCCTTCACAGGCATCACATACAACCATCAGAAAACACAGGTATTTACATTATGATTCATAGCAGTAGCAAAATTACAGTTATGAAGTAGCAATGAAAATAATTTTATGGCTGGGGGTCACCACAACATGAGGAACTGTATTAAAGGGTGGCAGCATTAGGAAGGTTGGGAAGGAACTATTGTCTTAGAGGCTTGCTCATTCCTTGTTGAAGGGACTTTCAGCAAACTATCTCAGGCAAACTCTTCGCTTATAACCAAACCCTTTCTACTAATAAAGTAGTTTGCTCTATATAGCCCATTGCTTAAAAGTTTGTCATGGAGAGGGTTAGCATTGGGCATACGGATTTCTACTAACAAAGCATGGAAACAGAATTGCCACCAACTTGTGAAAAGAGCATAAGGCACTTCAAAAACGAAGGGAATGGGGCTGTGAAAGGCTTTAGTTTGCAAAGAAAAAAAAAAAGAGTAAGAAGTTTCCCACAGGTCTTGGCCACAACAAGGAAATAGGCCGCAACCCTGGAACAAATGGTTCCAGATGAGCAGCCCTGTCTGGGTCACACCTGGCCAATGGACAGTCTGGGGACTTTCCAAGGTACATTCTGTGGTTTTTCCTTTGAAGAAAAACAGGTGATCTCTCAAACATGAAATCATACTTTGTAATCAATCACCTTGTGCCCCATGCATGTATGCTGATTTGTGGTTTTTCTCTATAAAAAGAGCCTGGAACCTTTGAGGTGCAGCTTTCCCCAAGATTGCTGACACCCGAGTGCGCACTCGTTCAATAAACATCTCTTGTTTGTTGCATCTCCTGGTTTTGGTGTTTGTGTTGCGGGGCTCTCCCATCAGCCCATCAGGACCCCAAAATTAGGGTCTTATTGCTGGATACAATGGTCACCTTTAGTTCCAGCACACAGAGACAGAAATGGGAAGCACTGTGAGTTCAGGCCAGCCCGGTCCACACATCCAGTCCTAGGCCAGCCAGGTCTACACAGAACAGCAACAAAAGAAAAGGGGCTGAGGATGTAGCTCAGTTGGCAGATCGCCTGCCCAGCATTCATGAAGCCCAGGGTTCAGTCCCCAGCCCAACATAAACTTGATATTGTGGTACATTCCTGGAACCATAGCAACATAGATGGAAACAGGAATATCAGGAGTTCAAGGGCATCCTCAGATACCTAGTGACTTAGAGACTACTGGGAGTATGTGAAACCTGTCTCAAAAACAGCAAAAAGGGGCTGGAGACAGGGCTTGGCAGTTAAGAGCACTGACTGTTCTTCCAAAGATCCCAAGAGCAATTCCTAGGACCCACATGGTGGCTCACAGCCATCTGTAATGAGATCTGGTGCCCTCTTCTGGCATGCAGGGATACATGCAGGCAGAACACTGCATACATAATAAATAAATAAGACTTAAAAGAAAAAGAAAAAAAAAAGAACAAAAGGCAATGGTGGCACACACCTTTAGTCCCAGTATTCCAGAAGCAGAGGCAGGGGGATCTCTTGATCTCTAGGCTTGTCTGATGTACCCCACCCCTCCCCCCCCCAAAAAAAAAACAGCAGAAAGAAATGTATAGAGGCTAAGCATAGTGCTCTGCCAGGCCAGAAAGGAAACTAAGCCTCCCAGTGAAATAATCCGTAGGATTGTCAGGCTTAGAAAATAGCACTTGGTGCAATAGACTCAAAACCCAAGAGCCTTTGCAACAGTTTGGAAGAGAATCCCCTTTGATTTTTTCTTTCTTCCTTTTTCTTTTTTCAAGACAGGGTTTCTCTGTGTAGCTTTGGAGCCTATCTATCCTGGCAATCACTTTGTAGACCAGGCTGACCTCGAACTCACCACTGCCCATCAAAATTCTATTCTTAAACGGATACGAAGACTCCAAAAACCTATAAAGTTAAAATGTTGAATTAGGAGCTGAAGAGATAGCTCAGTGGTTAAGAGCATTGGCAGCTCTTCCAAAGGACCCAATTTGAATTGTCAACACCCAGGTGGTG